CTAAGCACCATGTGGGGGGTTGGAGGTGCCACTCTCATAAACAGCCATGCTGGAACTCAAGATCAGCACAGGCACTGTTCAAGCAAGCTGCTTGCCTGGATTTTCGTGAGGACTGCTTTTGCTGCAAGAAGCCTTTTGTAGTGTTGATCCTCCACTGAAAGCTTTATTTCATTACTAGTGTGGCTCACGAGAGACCTGAGGCTACATCATGTGGGTTATGTTATTAACTAGGCATCTGCTGAGGTATTTAAGAAGCCACAAATCTTGTCAATCAAATGAAGATCTAAAGGGTGCACTGACTGTTCCTTCAGAACTCCATTGTGTCAGTAGAGAAACATTCCTCAGACACATTTAGAATGGTTGCCTCACCACAATCATCCGATGTGTCACCACTTACTCCTCCTCCCTCATCTTGGCTATGGCTTTATTAGTGAACATGCCTTGGCCTTCTCATCGATAAGGACTAGGAGCCCAAAACACCAATCCTATGCCTTGTAGTCATCCCGCTATTTTAGATTTTATAGGACTTCTGTAAGTAAATGGAAGGGTTTGCATTCTTAACATTCATATGCAGTGGTCTTTTAAAATCTGTATATTGGGCAAATAAGGTGGTGCGAAACTGGGAGAACAATGCAGGCATATCCATGTTTTATACACTAGGGAGGAAATCTACCATGGTGTGATTTACCCACCTGTATGCAACTTAATATTGCATGTCGGTAAGTCATTCATAACAGAGTATGCTCTGCTCTGTTGCATGTGTGAAGGTCAATGAAGGATGGTCTGATGCCTGATCCAGTTCCCAGGGGAAAAAGTCATGGTCAGCTTTTTCTCCTCTAATGTGACACCAGCACCTTCACCCTACATCCCTGTCCTTCAAAAAGTCCTGATGCCAAGAGGTACTAATATCATATCCTAGACAATGTCATCATTATAAAACCATCATATCACAATTCAACATATTGTGACAGATTTTAGATTAATAACAGTGGGCTCAGCTGCAAGAGATCCATTGATAATAGATAAATTGTTATCAGCTGTATTCCTTTCAAAGCTCTTGGAAATGTCAAGTCACAGAACATTAAAAGTCCTTGATAATCTTAGAGGTGCTGTGCTGAAGATTTCTCCCATGTATTTTTCAAACATTCTCATTTTAACCATTTGGCACATAACAACAAATGGACTCATTAACATTTAAAGCTGATCATTCATTCATTAACTCAATGACATAATTTCTTTGTAAAGTCAAGCTCTTCAAGTTACCTAGGTTGCAGTTTTTTCCTTCGATGTCCCAGTAACAAGGCACATAATGGGTGGGTACATCAGGGTTAGGGGGTGTGTGACATCAACTGAGTGACATCAACTGAGACAATAAAAGGTCTCCTTAGCTATTCGAAGTTCTATTTTAAAGTTCTATTTTACAGAGTCTTCTAGACCAATTAAGCAGACTTTAAATCAACTTCTGCCTGCCGCTGGCATCTCTGCACAACGAACCAACTTGAGAAACTATTTGGTAAGAACATTCTATTGCATTTTGAAAATGATTATTTATAACAAAATAACATTATTTCATAGATCTTTGGAATGTCTTGTCAACAAATTGTTTAAAAAGTGATTTATGACAGAGTTTACATTGCACATTTATCCAGCCATTTTAAAAAGTGCATCTGAAAAAACAAGCATTAGGAAGGAAATCTGCTTACTAAATGATTTTTAAAGGACATGTGAAACTGTTTGGATGCTATTTCATATAAGAATATCAAGTGTCTTAACTTTGGATATTATGGTGCAGTCATACACAGCACAGGTATTTAAAAATGTCCCAGTATTTTATTTAGCAATTTATTTATGTATTGATTACATTCATTTATATTCCTCCTATTCCTGGTAATTGGGTTTTTAAAAATGCTGTGCTGTATTAATTTACCCAGAAAATCCTACTGAAGTTTTACTACTGAATTCTTTTCTAAGTATCACAATCAAATATTAGACTCAGTGTTGGGCTCAGGTTGCTTTCTTGTTTTCTTTCTGCTTCTTGCATCATCAGCAGCAATACACTGTTTCTGAGACATTCTCTCTCAGTGAAAACACTGGTGATAGCAATAGATTTATGCAGGGATAAGTTGTTTGAAGATCAGATTTTCTGTGCCTGTAACCTTTCCTGAATAAAGCATAAGAAAAGGCAATTTCTCATCTAGCTAGGGTGCTAGTTTGAGGAGCAGACAAGGGTTGGGAAGTGAGATAAAGGGATTTATTATCAAGAGGAGAGAAGCCTGTAACATAAGCAAACAGGAGTCCAGTTAGGGTTAGGAGTTTGTGATGTCAGGAGACAAGATGACTGAAAAGCACTATACACAATCCAGGCCAATTTAAGTACTTCTGTGGCCTAGTAGTTCAGTGAAAGTGTTAAGTGCACGCTTGTCTCTCTCCTGTTACGGTTAATGGGGCATAGTGGGACTGAAATTTGGCTGGCTTGTGCTCCTAAGTTTAACAACTGATTTGATGAGGAGTTTGCAAATGTTGAAACTTCTCATTAATAGAATGAAGGGGCAGAATGGTCAATAATCTGCACCAATACAATCAAATAAAAGGATACAGCCTGAGACTGTGAGCAGATTCATGTAGAATTCAGCATGTGATTTGTGACTCTTCCCTCCCGCACCCCATTCATAGCTGTGTTGCAAGGAATGTCAGAGTCTGTCCCCTCGATCCATCTTCACCATGCACCCACATATATGCTAAAAGGGGATCAAGCAGTTGCATGTGGTACATATGAGTGGGCTTCAAGCTGTATCGCTGCACCCTCAACGCTGCAGACAGCCAGTCAACCCTTATTATCAAGACACAGTTTGTGGCAATTGGACTTTGTTCCATATAAAGCTAAATAATCCATCAACTGATATTGGTGATCTGTACATAACAGAGAAAATAAATAGTTCTTCACACAAGACATAATGTATGTGGGGAACTTGCTGTTCCAAGATATGGTGGTGGTCACTAGGTCAGACGCATCTGTAGGAAATAGAGGTGCTTCCAGGCGGAAGACTTCTATGAATACTAGCAGGAGGGTATCGTGCAGCTTTTCTGTTTTCCCCTCCACAACTATTCCCTTTCCTAGTAAAGAAAAAAGATAGAGTAAGTGCTGAGAAAACGAAGGGTTACACATGGAAGACAACATCAGCTGGACCTACCCCTCCAATTCTGTGAATGAGGCAAGGTGGTGCTCAGAACAGCTCATCTGAAAGTACCCCAGGCCAATCAATTGCTAATCCCCTTTAGCAGATCAGAAGCAAAATATGACATTGTGCAAAACAGTTTTAGCTCAGGCAAGAGGATTTTCACCTCTTTTCCTACTGGTTGCAGCCCCCTGTGCTCTCCTAACATCTGATCCAGAGGTTCCCAGACTCTCCAGATGTTGAGGGTGTAGGGGGAAATCATAGCCTGGCCCATTGCTTCTCTACTGGTGAGAGAGGTTGATTGGATACCATACGCTTCATTGTGGATGAACAGCAGTTTTCTGCTATTGTCCACTTATTTAAAACATTTAAAAAATTTAAAATAAATTTTATTTTAAATAAATAAAATAAAATTATTTAAAACATTTCTATGCCACCCCATTCACAAAAAGCCTCAGGGTAGCTTACAAAACAAATACCATTCGCAACTTGTCCTATTTGTGTACTTTCTGAAGTTTCCAGATGGCCACTGGAATACTGAACTAATCCCTGCCGTAAGTTAGCAGGGCAGCTACAATTTAATGATTCCATGCATGCAACATTAACCCCTGTGGATGTTTTCATCAGAACCAATGGAGTTAATTGCTGTGTCTCATCACAGCGCTCATTCTGCTGTGCTTCAAGATCCATCAATCCATCAGGGGAGGGGAGATGTGCTAGATCATGGGTCCTCAAACTATGGCCCGGGGGCCGAATCCAGCCTTACCAAATTCATTGGTATCTAAAATGGTGTTTTTTTCCTGGGGTTGTGCAGAAAAGGCTGTACTACTGTTTGTGGTTGTAATTTACACACCTAGCCCACACTGTTACAGCACACCTGTGTACCTCCCTTCTGTAAGTTCCTTATTGCTTAACATCCTATTCCATAGAACGGGTAGCAAATCCTGGGAACTGACAGCACTAATGCAGAAGAGTGTTATACACAAGAAGCACCATGAACTCTAATGACACTTTATTTGGAATGAGCTATTAAAAAAATATATATATGCCTTAGAACAAGGAGCGACCCCAAATGCTCAAGCACTATCCAGCAGTCTTAAGAATATCCTGTCAGCTATATTACAGTGGCAGGCTACTCTAGCAGACACCCCTCTACAAAAGAGGAATAGCGACACTGGGTTAATATGTGTAACCAACCTGTGCAACCCACACTTTCTCAGCCACACTCCTGCCTCCTGTGGTATGGGTGCAACAATGATAAACTTGATCTGCACACATTCTCAAAATGATTTTTAAATGTTTATAAGCTCGGGAAAAGTATATTAACAAGACCTGAATTAAAAAGAACATGGACTTTGTCTTTGCTACTACTTTTCCCTGTTTCTGGTAGACATTTTACTGCCCAAAATGACATTTCTGGATCTCTCTCTTTCCCCTCACAAAGGAAGCTGCAATTACTTCCTGCTTTCAGGGAAGACTCCAAAAATGCTTAATACACCCAAAAGGGTTGACACCTACATTGTGTGTCCAGGGTCTACTCCAAGTGGAACAGGATGGAGAGTCAGCGATTTCCATAGTCACCGTCGGGACAGAATCTGCCATTCTACTATCCATTTGGTTTATACTGCAGACACTTCTGCAGGCTATTAAACTGAGAGAATAAGAGGACATGGCACCCTTTGCCCTCATGAGCAGATGCTCATGGTTGGACCATCTTCTAAACTGTTTAGATATTTATGATATACATATTCATATCTGTCTCTAACTCAATCCAACCATGAAAATACAGATTGATAATTCTCAATTTCATCTCATCTAGTTAACATGATTTCTACTCGAGACATGGCTAAAACTGCAATCATCTTATATGCCATCTGTTTCTTCACAAATTCTGATGGAAAAGCTGTGATGTGAGTATCTCTTGATATCCATCTTAAGAGGCTGAAGGTAACTGAAGAGCACACATTCCTCCGGATCTCTGTTGCTTGGGTACTTCTTTCACTTGTGAACTTAACACACAGAAAATTTGGATAAAAGGACAAATAATACAAGCCGCAAATGACAATCACATCTTAATTCAAAGATCCTCCCAGCATTATCAAAGTAGGAACTCAGTTCTAGTACTTATACTTACTTTGAAGTATATCTAATTAAACTCCCTGGGACTTACCTTGGGATCAGCTGCTCTGTTCAGATAATCAGAAGTTCAGCTATAGCACATGTGGGCAACCTGCAGTCATGCTATATGGTACACTCTGCATACGTAAATCTTGTAAGGAATTTACACAGTTGTTTTAGGAGCTTTCTTTTCATAGGTCTGGGTTTCTCTTGAGCATCTATTACATTTATAATCCCCATCCCTTTTGCACACAATACACATTAAAGAAAGCCAGTTGGTTTTAGGTTTCATTGCTTAAAAACAGCAATACTAGATAGTTCTTACAGTTGCATGTGCATGCACACACATACTTAAAGTGTTACTCTGGGATGGTGCAGCAATGGCTTTATAGTAGCTCTCCTCCCCCCACCCCCAACCCCACACAACTCCATTTCTGCACAACAGATGAGCATTCATGCAACAGCTGATAAAGCAGGGGGTGAATGAGGCTGACCAGATGCAACAGAGGACAGGTTTTCTGCATCTATAATTCTGGAAATTTCAGCAGGTGCAAGTTTTCTTAGGGAAAAAACACTAACTTTCTACACAACTATAAAGGGCATAGAAGTACTGTACTTTAATGCTTCTGGATGCATACAAAGTAAAGTTTGGCCTCTGTTCACCCACAATCTGAGACATTTCTGTTATGTTTTCCTAACCAGCCTCTATTCAGTATCAGTGAGAATGAAACAAATAGGTGAATTCTTGAATAACTGAGCCTGGGACAATTTGGTTCTATCCATCTTTATACCCGAGTAATGAAGCCTGTTCATTCAGACATCTGCATCTTGAGTGGTACCATTGGTTTCATTGCTTCAATTTGGATAGACTGTGAGCGCATGGTAACTCCTATGTCACAAGCCCAGGCTTCAATCCAGTGGGCGATTGCACCTGATCTTTTAGAAGCGCATGCATCCTAATCTGGTTTTGTGTTTATGCTGGAACATTTCAGTTGCCCCTTTTATCTCTCTTACTGTCCATGAAAGGAGTCTCCACAGAATAAAGCTAAAAACCCTAAAGTGATTTGCCCTCAGTGCTGAGAGGGAGACAGGAGGAAAAGATGCCTCTTAACATATAGCAAAGGCACCCTTGTTCTATGTAATTCTCTACAAAAGTCCAAACTAGATGTGACATCATGATAAGCATTTATGTAAATCTTTAAAAAACAGTAAATAGCATGCACTGGGCTCCCATAATGGGAATCCCATTATTGATCAGGTCCCTGGCATAAGCAACTGGGGCTGCAGCCTTAGTTTCCCACTCTAGTCTTCATCCTGAACAGGCTCTCACCTCTGCCCTTTATTTCAGAAAGAAAGTGCCCATCAGAAGCAATAGGAGTGTTTTTCCCAATATAACTAAGCATAGAAGACTGAGGGGGAAGCATTAAATGCCTCCCTCCTGGGTCGCAGTCTAGATCAGCCTCCCACATGATTTGCCCTTCAAAAGCTATTGAAGTAATTGCGAAACATGTGAATGATACCATGCCTACTTTGTCTTTAGGGTACAAAATTAAAAGTTGGGTTGCTAACTCTGTGACATTTCTTTTAATCCCATACAATCCTTCTTTGTTACAGGAAGCGGTCTGTAAGTGAAATGCAGATTATGCATGACTTAGGGGAACATTTGCATTCTACAAACCGGCAAAACTGGCTCCTTGAGAAACTCCAGACGGTGCACCACGAGCCCAGGGCTGCTGAAGAAACAGCAGTGGATGCTAAGCCCCGTGAGGTCAGAAGCTGGAAGCTATTCCCTGATCATCTGCAGGCAAAGATGCAGAAGAAATCAACAGATTGGAACTAAGATTATTCAGATATCACCAAAACAAAATTCCTGTGAAAGAGCCATGGTGTTATCTTTCCAATTAAGTGCATACAGTAGTTAGCTATTAGGGCATTTATTATTTATTATTTATAAAACAACAGTACCTAAGCTCATGTCTGCACAAAATTACTTGTTGGGGACTGGATGTGCTTACTTTGTGCATCTTATTCCCATAGTCTGCATCCCCGACCTGGTACCCTTCAGAGGTTTTGAGCTACAACTTCCAGGATTCCTGACTGTTGTGCATGGCAACTGAGGTTGATGGGACTTGAAGTCCAAAATATCTGGAGGGCAACAGGTTGCGGAATACATTTTTGCATATAGTAGAGCCTTTAGTCCACAGTGCTGCTCCAAGTGTCCATGTAATTTACAAGGCAAATTGTAAGGCCAATGCAGATTGAGCAATCTATACTGTTTCCTTCCACTAGTGCAATGGCTGTGAGCTGGGTGAGAAAGGCTCTGGTATTTCCTGAGTGTACTTCCCCTATGTCATCTTGGGTGTTTTACTAGCCTGTGGTCATGGATAGCTGCTGTTAGGACAATGCCAAATGAATTATCAGCTGACTTCACCATATGAAGAAATGCATGGAACTTGTCTCCTGATACTGTCCTTGCCACTTATATTAACTTCCAGAAGAAGGTAACACACATAAAACATGCTGCAGAACCTGGGGATTGGTCCTAGTAGTTCTGTTAATCCTCTGACAGAAGAAATTGGTGTAGGTTCAACTCCTAGTCATCAACCTTGAATGATGAAAGAAAGTAAGTAGGTTGCCTTCTTCTGGCAGTTGGGAGAGGCAGTGGCATGGACTGATCCAGACATCTATTTACTTCCATAGTGGGATGTGACTGCTGAGCCCAAGCAAGCTTTGGTTCCTGGTAGATGGCAGAATTCTGCCACCAGTCAAGATAAGTAGGGGAAGCAGTCATGGAAGAATGGTTGTACTCTCTCCATCATTAAGATGGATCAGCCCTGAGAAAATAAGTGCACAAGATGGTACAAAAACATTCATTTGGAATTGCTGCAAATCATTAATATACTATCACTGTGGAAGTCTGAATATGTATGCAAATTGACAGTGGTTATAATCCTTAAAATACAAATGTAGAATCGTCCTGCAAGGGTACCATTGGCCTTTGACTCAGTACTGTTTATGTCCATGTATCTGAATGTACTGACAAACACCTGATGCATTTCTGTAATCCAACACTCAAAGAGACAGAAATAGAATTAAATAACAAAGCTCTTTTGGGGAGACGCATGAAATTCAGAGAACCAGGATGCTTCAGTAAAGGGAAACTGGATATATAGCTACAAGAAAACTGAGTAGGGAGGGTGGTGTATTCTAGTATCCATAGTCGGAAAATAATTTAAGGTTATATGAATTTTAAATTATCAATGTTTTATTTCCTGGAGCCACTGATACCATACAAAAAGGATTAACATACAGATTTGGTCTGAATAAACCACTATTGCCTTTCCCCAGGTAACTGTACTATATTTATATATAAACGAATCCAATTTGAGACTATGTAGTTCTGTGGAGGGAATCTAAATGCTTATTTAGAAAGATTTAAAAGTCCTACAACTCTCACCAGCCATGCAAGAATTGTAGAACTTTTTTCCTACCAAAAACTGCATAAGATCTAAGGATCTCTAAGAAATAATTCTTGGTGTTCAAACAAGCTACCATTCCCAAGATTATTTAGAAGAAACTATGGCAGCTAAAGTTAAATTGTGTAAGGTTGAAGTCTGTAGTGTAGAGACCTAGAACCTGAAAGAACATAGGCACACACAGCCACATTTGGAAAAGTACGAGGTAAAGCATCATTTATGCACTTGCAAAGGTTTCTCCAACATTGGAGTGAATAGGCAGCTCTGCAAAGTTCCAAGTGGGCATTAGAGTACCTGTGTGTGAAATAGGCAAGATGGGCTTGCTTCCAGATAAGACTCATATCCTGCAATTGCTCTGCTTCATTTACGGAATGTCAGCGGGGGATTCAGATGATGCTATCTACTTGTAACACTTCCACCTTTTCCCACTGCTTTGTTCAACTGTTTTCTCTCTCCCATTAGGGAAGAAAAGATGGAATAATGGAATTCTTATTAGTTGGCAGAGCTGGGAGCCATCTCTTTCAGATTATAGCAACACCTTGAACTAGAATCTCACCCAATATCCTGATCCTAAACACATTTCCCTGGAAGGGTTATTCATGACAGGAAGTAAATTTACATAAATCCATGCAGATTTAAATCTGTGTAGAACTGCACCTTGAGGATATATTCCTATGCATACTTGTTTGATTGAAAGTCCCACTAAATTCAATGGGACTTATCTCTGAGAAAACATGCATAGAATTGGTTTTTACTGGGATACACAGAAGGTAAATTTCCAAATTTTTGCACTTTAGCTCTTAGAAGCCTCAGCCAGCATGGCCAATGAACAGGAATGTTGGCAGCTGAAATCCAAAACATCTAGAAATCTACTTCCTGTCCAACTCTGCAAAAACAAGTTCTGATGAATGATATAACCACCAACCACCATGTCATGAGAGCAGGTATATCAACTGCCAAAGTTCACCCAGGAAATAATAGAACAGGCAAATGGTAACATATTTGTGACAGAGCCCATTATCCTGTGGCTTTACAGTAGTTAGAAACTGATCTCTTCTATGAATAATGACGTTAGTAAATGCATGCACACATGTAAGTGACCGCGATGCAGTAAGGAGATCTGTAAGCCGAAAACTTGCTGTCTGGGGCATAAACATGCTTCCAGCAGCTTGTCAGTTACTTTTTAACATGAGGCCTAAGGAACATCACACACACAACTATTTTGTGCCGACCTATCCAGGATGGATGCATCACTATCTCTTAGGTCTGGTACCTCTTGTGTTTTGCAAAAGTTGGTTAATAAATAATAAATAATGATGTCAAAATACAGCTTTCTTTAGACTAGAAATGAATGAGCAAATAGTGAGCTGGCATTTGTTAGATCTGAACGGGAAGGGAAAAGAAGCAAAGGAGCAGACTATTCTCTTGTACCCTTACTGATATGATCCTGCAAACAGACAATACACTGATACAACTCCTCAAACCTGCAGGGAACTGCACTGTATTCAGTGGGAGCAGGGTTTTGAAATGAAATATGGTATGTTGGTGGTAATAAGGCTTTAAAATGCACTTTCTATTTATTCTTTTGCTGTATGTTCATGTCTGACTTACACAAATGCAGCTTTATTCCTTTATTTCTGTTTCTTGCTATAGCAATGTCAAATAAATGGACCAAAAGCTCTTGGACAGTAGTAGTTGAAAAGCAAAAATGATTGGTATTTCTGTCATTATTTATATCAGCATTCTTCCCCTAATTTGGGATAATGAGCATATTTGGTTGAATCCAAAATAAGTTAGTAGGATTTATTTCTTAGCAAAATCAATGTGAAAAGTCAGCCTTCTTGATTGAGTTAACTCCCATTTAGTTCAAGAGGAACAACATTCTTCTTAAGCCATGCCTGCGTTCTGCAGGAGTAGACTTGGAATTTCTCTCCTGCATTCTCTTTCATTCTTCCCATTAATTCCATGAGATGCAAAATAGCCATGCCAGCTTCAGGCTGGAATAGTTTGGAGCCCCAGTTAGCAGGCATGTGGAGGGAATAAGGATGATTTTCATTCCATAGATCTAATGCTGCCTCCAATACAACCCTGATGCATTTGGGAAAAAGTGCCTCTAGGGCAGGAATGCTGTCCAGTCAGTGGAGTTCCTTTCAACCAGTGTAGTAGCATTTCTGCCACATCCAACAAGCCCTCAAACTTTGGCAGGGGCATGGATTGCTTTGTTTGTCTGGATTTAGAATAGAGCAATTATACAACACGTATTTTTTAGACAGAAAACATAGGAATTTCTTGGTGGGAGAGGTGTTTGAATTCTGAAAAGAGGGTAAACTCATGTACAACACGTCAGAAGAAAGTACATAAAGCATTATTCATTTAGCAGCTCACTTCAGTTCAGCCAGTGGCCACCCATGATTTTCACTAACTGTGTGGTTTTATGTACACAGGCAAGCAACCATCTTCCTTACTCAGCTCATCTTGACCTAGGTTTATCTGATTTGCTTCCATGATGAATGCAATAATGTGAGCTAAACCTGTTTCTTGACTATTCTGGGCCACTTTTAAAAAACAAAACATAAAATCCACAGATCAGAAACATACTAAAAGTCCTACCACTAGAGGGAAGCACCAGCTTTCATCAGATAAAGTATTATCTTTGAAGAATCTATTTCCTGTATCTGTAAGCAGATTTGATTGCTACACTTACTTAGGACAAAGTCATAATCACATTCATGTTTAGCTGGTTTGACTTTTAGGAAACTGGCCTGATGTGCAAGAGTGGAGAAATCTGTAAACAGAATAGGAAACAGTCCCTTTCTTTTTGAACAAATCAATCTCATCTGGTTCTGGGACTTTCCATTCTAAACCAGTACAACCACAATCAACTCCAGATTCAATGCTGCCAGAGCAATTTATAAGAATAATTGTTTTTTAATTATTTTATATATTTCATTTATATGCAGAAGGTGGAAAAGACTTGTTCTCTGTTATCCCCAAGGGCACAACTATAACCAATGGTGGAAATTGCAGGGAAACAGAGTACAGCTTAACATTAGGAGACATTTCTTAACCTATTTAGCTGTGCAACAGATTGCCTTGTTCTCCTTCTCTGAAGGTGTTTAAGCTGAGACTGGACAGCCATCTGTTAGGGATGCTGTGGTTGTACTAGATAGCTTGGACTAGATCTCCAGGGTCCTTTCCACCTAGCAACTTATAGTTTACAATGGCGCTTTACAATCTAACTGCAACATCTTAAGTGGGGAAAAAGAACAGGGAACAAAAAAGAAACTAGGAACATTCAGGCACTGTATGTACTTACATAACAAAGTTAGGGCACAATCCTATTGCCGCAACAGTGGATGCTCCT